AGTCGTGATCAGCTGCTGGGTGATTTGTTGTTCCTTCCGATTGAACTGCTCTTCGTTGATCTGCTGTTTGCTCTGCTCCCGTTCCAGCTGCTCCTTTTCGGAGGTCAGCAACTCCGACGAAGATCTCTGCTGCATTTGCTGGTCAGCCATCTTGCTTTCTTTCTCCGCTTTTGTTTCTATTTTAATAAAACTTATAAAATAAACATCGCATATAAATGTAGAAACAATCTAATGAAATAAAAATATCTTTTTTTAAATGCTTATAAATACAATCGCCTGAAAATATTATATGTGTGGTATAATGTAATTTAATTAAAAATATGTTTAATAATTCAATAATTATTTATGAAAAAATATAACCTATTACGAACATAAAAATTGAAAATGTTAAAATTCCCGTTCCAGTACTTATTTTATAAATTTTTTTTTAATTTTAACAAACAACTTGCACGCAAATTTATACTGCCAGGAAAATTCCTCAAAGATCAATGTACCCCCTCGAAATTCTCCATTCTCTCTCTTTTTCTCTTACTCTCACTGACTTCTATCCGTATCTCATCTTTTTTGGATTATCTTAAAATAAGGAAAAACACTTATATATATACTCACAAATAGGTGCGTACAGAAGTATAACTATATCCGTACGTACAGCGAACGAAATGAAAGAAACGCACACACACACACACACACACACACACACACACACACACAGACACACACACACACACATACACAAGCAAACAAACACACATACACACTTCTATCATTCTAGCAAAATTTAAGCAGCAGCGTTTGTACGTATTCCCTATTTGAGATGCCAATGATGGATAAGATGATTATTAGAACCGCAATAATAAACAGAGCAAAATAAACAATGATAATAATAATAAAAAATAATAATAATGATAATGCTCATAAAGAGAAACATGCCTCTAATGGTATTTTCATCTCGTAAATCAAAATAAATACCATTACCAAGAAATTTAAAGTGCACGCGCGCACAGACACACACGCACGCACACATACAACAGTCACACACACATATACACACACATAAGAGACACACACACGCACACATACTTACATATACATTTATATGTATGTATGTGTGTGTACAAAAAGGTGAGCTAGGTACGTATTTTATATTTATTAATCAACATCTACAACGTAAATCGATCGTTTGTTTCAGTTTTAATGATATTATCTTATTACCTCATGTTCTTCTGTTTAGGAATGTTTAAAATTTCTTGATACAATCACTAGTATGGAAAGATTTTTATCATTATTATCATCCTCATCATCCTCTTCTTCTTCTTCATCATCATCACCATCAGCAGCAGCAGCAGCAGCCTTTTCATCATCATCATCATCATCATCATCATCATCATCATCATCATCATCATCATCATCATCATCATCATCATCATACTCATCATCATCATACTCATTTCCATTATCATCATCGTCATTGTCGTCATCAACATCACATAACAATGGCGTGAGTGAGAAGATTTCTTTGAATTCTTCAGGTTTCTCAACCCACGTTTTCGAGAAAAAACAAAACGATCAAGTGGTTTAATCATCCTTCTCATCATCTTCATCCTCATCATCATCTTCTTCTTCCTCCTCCTCATCATTTTCATCATCTTTATCACCACAGGCTAATATGAATTTCACATTATTTTCAATAAGCCCTGATTTTTATTTTGTACGTTTAACACTTTCTTCTAGAATTTTAAATTTCTGGTAATTAATCAGTCAATCAATCAATCGATCGATCGATCAATCAATCATTCGTTCATTCATTCATTCATTCATTCATTCATTCATTCATTCATTCATTCATTTTGACATTTGTCAACAGTTTTTTGACTATCATGATTTGGCTGTCCACCAAATTTTCTTTATAAGATAATTTTCTTAAATTTTAACGTTCAAATCTCTAATACTATATATCAATTCTTATGTACTTGATTTTTTTAATATGTGTGTGTATGTGTATATATATATATATATATATATATATATATATATATATATATATATATGTTTAATATATGTATGTTTGTATGTGTGTATATATATATATATGTGTGTGTGTGTATGCATGTGTGTGTGTGACACAAATTCTAATTTCTGGACATTTACGGGTTAGAAAAACTCGACTTCGATGGTTTAAATATCATTTTTTAAAAAATGGTCGGAGAAATTAAAAAAAAAATTATTGAGACAAACAAAAAAATAAAATATTACGTCACTAGAACTCCATGACAAAATAACGTACTATTAACATTGTTTGTTTGTTTATAAAATTCAAATCGAACCTCTCGGGCTATTTATTTAAAAACATTCTATCCACGAAATAAACTAACTAATAAAGTTCAATTTCGCTATAATACAAGCTAAAATATTAATTAGTTAATTATCTGGTTTAATTAGTTTGTTAATTAATTATTTCGGTTTGTACATACATCTATTTTTAAGTTTTTAAAAACTTGAA